TCTGCAGAGGACAGGAGACCTGGCGCCCTGTCCACCCTGCCCTCGACTGACCAGCGCTCTGCGCTCACGCGGTCCCCAACAGCCACGCGTTCTCAGGTCAGTTCCGCTGACAGCAAGCACACAGGTTACTAAAATCAGGTAAATACTATTCGTGGCTGAATACAAATTCAAATACCCAGTATTTTTAAAGTATGCTACACTGTCTTCTCCCTACATGTAACTCATTTAATGTTTACAATGAGCCTACTGGCGGGCACTATTCCTCTTTAGCTTACACGTGTGCTACATGTGGTGACTTTTCCATTCCTCTACAACTTTTTGTTTTCTATGGAGTGAAGAATCTCAGAGACCCTTTCTACCAAGATGGCGAAGAAGGAAGCCTCTGCCCCTCCCAAAGCTAAAGCCAAAGCAAAAGCTTTGAATGCCAAGAAGGCCGTTCTGAAAGGTAGCCACACCCACAAAAAGATATGTCACCCACGTTCCGCCGTCTCTAGACACTGTGACTCCGGAGGCAGCCCAAATACCCCTAGAAGAGCGCCCCCAGGAGAAACAGGCTTGACCACTATACCAGCATCAAGTTCCCCCAACCACAGTCAGCCACGAAAGAGATCGAGGACAACAACACACTCGTGTTCATTGTGGATGTCAAAGTCAGTAAGCTCCAAATCAAACAAGCTGTGAAGAAGCTCTATGACATCGATGTTGCCAAGGTCAATACCCTAATCAGGCCTGATGGAGAGAAGGCATATGGTCGACTGGCCCCTGATTATGATGCACTGGATGGTGCCAACAAAATTGGGATCATCTAAACTGAGTCCAGCTGGCTAATTCCAAACACATACCTCCCCCCGCCCCCGTAAAAAGAAAAAATCTCTTCTCAGCTGAGTGTGAGTGCGGTCGTGCACACCTGTGATCCCAGCACTCAGGAGGCTGAGGCAGGAGTACTGCTGTGAGTTTGAGACCAGCCTGAGCTACAAAGTGAGTTGAAGGCCAGCCTGAAATATATAGCAAGACCTTATCTCAAAAAGACAAACAAAACAAAATCCCTCTTCTCTCTTTTAGTCTTTTTTCCTGGATGGATTCCTAAGGATTCTTCCAGTCGAGTGTCTGAAAAGCATAAAACTGGCTGACAAAGTTCTGGAACCCAAACCCCAGTGAGCTGGGACTCTACGCCAAAGTCTCTACTGCTGTCATTTAATGCTGTTTCCGGCACAGCATTCCCCACCTGCTTCACTCAGTGCCACTCAACTGTAATCAGCATCCCGGCCAGAGATGCTCTCTGTCTCGCCTCTGCCAGAGAACAAATCGCCCACATGCAGCCAGAAGGTATGGAGGGATGGGGGACTCCCAGGTGTCTGTCTGCTCACTCCATCTACCCTGCCGCTGTTGGCCTCCCTTTCACACAACCTAATGCTACCAGTTTCCAAAAGTGAGGGTTCAGTCAGGCAAACTAAGTTGTGCCTCAGCTCCCCGCATGGAGGTCTCAGGACCCACTTTTTTAAGAAGCGAGTGGCCAACCATCCTTCTATGTATGCAGCCCCCCAAATTCTATTCCTATCGTCACCTCAGCTGTCATTGCCAACCTTCATGGACTAGCCCCTTTATTTTTCTTGTCTTTTAGTGCACAAGGGATTCCTGATTTAATGAGAATTTGTTTATTTTTGCAGTGCCAGGGCTTGAACTCGGGGCCTTGCTCTTGCCAGGCAGGTGCTTATGTCACCGAGCTATATCCGTGGCTATGTTTTAATGAGATTTCAGAAAGAGAATAAAATGCACATATTGAGTATGTAATCCTTAACCAGGAGGCTGAAGTACAACTTCAAATGGGGAAGGGTACATACAGCAGACAGCAGGACTGACGGAGAAGCAAGGGCAGGCAGCAAAAGGGGGCACACTGGAGCCACGGCAATGAAGCTCGAGGCTAAGGGCGAGGCTGCATGGTGTGCCCCCTGAGCTAAGGCACATCCAGAGCAGAAAGTGCACAGACCACAGCGACCCTGCCCCAGGGATTAACTCCAAATTGTAGCTGTAAAACATTTACCTGACAATCTTCAAATATCAGGATGCAAAATTTGAATTTTACAAAGGACACCCCTTAAAAAGATATTCTATGGAGGAAATATTTCTTAGTAAAGTACATACTGAGGAAAAAAGTTGAACAAGCTCAAAGGTAATTTCTTTTATTACTGATCATTACTGAGTATCTAGTTTTGAATTGTCATTTTTGTTGTTGTGGGTTTTATATGCAGTCCATGCTGACCTTGAACTCACTATGTCGTCCAGGCTGACCTGAACTTACAGCAAACCTCCTGCTTCAGCCTCCGAGTGCCGCAGGCGTGCACCACCACAGCCAGCCTAAACTGTAATTCTGTGTGAAAGCCAGGTAGCTGCTGGTGTTTTCCAAGCCCGCACAGACACGGTGTGCTGCGGAGGGCCTGTTCTCCACGCACCCCTTACCTTGCCGCCCGACGCCTTCCCGCTGGGCTCACACACGCTCTCCAAGAGCCCCAGGTTCCCCTCTGCATCCGTGTAAGATATGCGGCCACAGGTAGGGTGCCAGGCCAGGCCACAGATGGCATAGCCTTTCTCATGCTTCACCCTAAAAATTAAAAAGTGGGCTCTGAACGTGCTGTCAAGAACATCAACTGTACATGCCTTTAGGTACATTTCAGCTGGAATGGTTAAACAACTTTTGACAATGTAAGAGCTATAGATTTCCATTATGATTAATAACTGGACTTTGAAATGCTTCCTAATAAAATGAAAAGATTAACAGAAATAAGAGAAGAACCGAAGACACACTAGAGCATACCTTTCTACGCAGCCTCTGGTTTCCACATTCCAAACGATAATTAGGCCGTTGATACTACCCGCAGCTAAATAGCGCCCACAGGGCGACCAAGTTACTATGTTGAGGCTCTATAAAGAAAAACAGTAACTATTCTGTGTCATCTGAATAGTCGTATCACTATTCAGATGACAAGTATCACAAATTCAAAGTTTTACATCCCTGTTCTATATTATGTATTTGAAAAATACGATTCCTAGTGTCCCCCCACAAATTACAGCAGTATGATTTTACAAGTAAAACACAAAAACTACTGTTATCAGGGAAAGAGAGTACAAGGTGTCCTCTTAGCTTTTACACAAGATGAAGTAAAGCAGTGAGCTAAGTGAGCCTCCGCGAGCAGCTGCCGACCTACAGGGCCAATGTCCATGTGATTATAAAATAAATGACGTGCACCAGAAGAGAGGCTGAGCAAGAACAGAGATCAATGGCCCTTCTTGCTCTAAAGTTCACAGACAGAGTAGGGGGAAACAGAAGAAGATGGCAGGGAGGGAGAGTAGGGAAGAGAGCGGGAGATAGTCTTGCTTGTTCTAGAACTTCAGACTATACCCCAACTCTTGAGTGAAACTCATTTAATACAAGCCAACCACTGGTTCTCACAAAGAAGCAAGGTCAGGACCAGGGAGATGGCTCAGTAGAGTAAGTGCTTGCCTGGCAAGTACAAGGTCCTGAGTTCAATCCCTGGTTCTGGAAAAAAAAAAAAAAAAAAACAAGCAAGGTCCCACGGGATCTTCAGGCATCGAGTATCCAGCTGGTGGATACTTGCGCCACGGGCACACAGCAGATGCACCTGCCACCTCCCAGCCCGAAGCTGCTGCCTGCGGCCACTCACACCTGACCGCAACTGTGCTGAAGATGCAGAACGACTCCCTGTGGCCTACTGGACACATGAAAACCGACCTGACTGATGGAACTGTCAGAAAGATCAAGCTGATTAGTCCAGGTTTCTCTTCTATACAGCTTCACAGATTTCTCCACAGGAACTGCCAGTAACTATTAGGAGAGAGAAGATTTAAACAAAGTGGACATTACGTTTAATGAACTGAGGGAAAAAGGTGCAAATTCATCCAGATAAATCCACAAAACAGGGCCGGGGATACAGCTCAGTAGCACAGTGCCTGCCTGGCAAGCACAAGGTCCTGAATTCGATTCACAAAAAAAAAAAAAAAAAACCATAAATTTACAAAACAGAAGAACAAATCAGCATCTGTTGAATTAACAGAACTCAGCAAATTACTTAAGACTTTGATTAAGGAAAAAAAATCAAAAATAATGGCTTGTACCAGGAAGCAGAGAAATAGTAATTTTTAGTATTTTTAATACTGTTCCTTTTTTCCCTCCAATCAGATCTTATCGGTACATCTTAGATACACATAATGGTCACTCTCATCCTAGAGAATTCGTACCTGTAAATGATAGAACTTGACAACCTTCTTCTCCCATTCCTCTAGACTCTCTCTAGCCCTCCTCCCCTTTCCATTCGTAAAAGCTCTGTTTCCATTTTTTCCTTCTTCCAATATGTTTTCTTAAGAAATCTAGGCTCTTTGGACTTAAAAATCCATTTCATTTGCTAAAACGAAATAGCCATAATCCTCTATCTTACAGAAAAAAACGAAAAGGAATTTATCTTCTTACATAGCCTTCAGAACAAGATTAGTAGGAAAAAACCCGGCAGGGACAGTGTATGGCTCAGCAGCAGAGCACAAGGCTTTAAGCCTCAGGACAAAAGAAACAAAAACTTGGCATATGTTTTCCATGTTTATCATATATACGATATTATCATATCATAGAGGCACAAATAATTAAAACAGTAAAGCTACGTCAAGTTTATTAACTTTAATCAGATTAACTCATGCTTTGAAAGCAAAGAAAAATATGCACTGTATTTTTTTACTATCTTCTCAAGGCAGAAAGTATTCTCTTCAAAGTCATGCCTTAAAAAGATAAGTTTTTGTTTTTTGTCAAAGATGGTCTTATTTTGTATCTGTATATATAAAATAGTTAAGATAGATAGACAGCTAATTTCTCTTAATTCAATGAGAATAAAGATTTGTACTAATATTGTTTGGACAGGATATCATGTCTGCATCTTGTACTATGAATAACTACTATGAAGACAATATACAATATATTAACTGTTGTAACTGTCCTACTAACCTGTTTTGAAATTGTCTCATTGCTAGTTGTTTCTCAGTAAAATAAAATTGAAAAAAATCATAAAAAAATGAATGAATCAATTTTTAAAAAAAACACAAAGTCTTGCTACATATCATAGCCCAGGCTGACCTCAAAAACTGGCTGCAGGTCACGCATGGTGGTGCATACCCATAATGCCAGCACTCAGGAGGCAGAGGCAGGAGGATCCTTGCAAGTTGGAGACTAGCCTGGCCTACAAAGTGAGCGTAAGACCAGCCTGATCTTCACAGTAAGACCCTGTCTCAAGAAGACCAAAAAAACCCCAAAAACCTGGCTGCACAACCCAGGCTGGTCTTGAACTCATAACCCTTCTAACTCTGCCCCTGTGTGCTGTGATCATAGACCTGTATAAGTACACATGGCTTAAGAAGGGTGTACAGTATGTTCAAAGTCTCACCCCCTAAGTGCTTGCCTGGCAAACACAAGGACCTGAGTTTAATCCCTGGTTCCGCCAAAAAAAAAAAACAAAGTCTCGCTCCTGTTCCTAAATCCTATTTCTATACTCTAAAGGCCCATACACTACAGGATACACAAAATGCATATGTGCATATATATTAAATATATAACAACATTTGAAGTAATAAACAGTAGGCCCAATATCTACTGTTCTACAGTTTGATTTTTTTTTTTTTTTTACTTAACAATGTATCTTAAAGATCCCAGAGGAGGGCTTACAAAGTCTGATCCTAACAATTAGACTCTTACTTTCAAAACTACCAGTACACAGCCAAGTGTGGTGATGCATGCTATAATCCCAGTACCTGGGAAGCTGAGGCAGGAGGATCACCGAAAATTTGAGGTCAGCCTGGGCTACATAATGAGATAGTGTCTCAAAAAATAACAAAGACTGGCCATTCCCTGCAAATGAACATTTAGGGTGGCCCCAGTCTTCTACTACTATAAACAGTGGTGTAAGTTTTTGCTCTACAAACCCTGTAGAACATATACACGTGAACATATTTATAGGATGCCCTGGGTTGAGCCCCTAGCAGAGCAAATCTGTCCGCAAACAATGACCACTGCAGGCCTCCTCTGCACACGGCTTTCTCCTTTTCACTGCCGCAGGAGCGCACAGGAGCGGCAGGAGCACTTGACACACAGAGGAAGCGCGCTCACTGTTTCACCCCAGTTGCTCATCTGTTCAAGTAATTTTGATCATGCTAAAATGTTTACCTGTCAGTTAAGTTTAACCCTTTCTGGAAAAGGTCACATCAACAGAAAACTTGAAAAAATAATATATCAACTTTCTACAGTTCCTCCCAAGAGGCCACCAAGATGGTCCCAGCCAGTCTCAGTTCCTGGGGTTCAGGGCCGAGCCCCAACTTCAACCCCCACCTATTCGTGTCTATCTCTGTTCAAAAGACATGAGTCTCCAAGTCAGTAGCAGCATTTTCATTCCCACGTTTTACAATGTTTTAACATCTGATTGAATAGACTCCTTTCTTTTCTTTCCTTTTTCAATACTTTTGGTTTCCACATAAGACTTTAGAATCCACTCTACTGTAGAATCCACTATACTATAGAATCCACTCTATCCAAACATCTTACGGGTATTATTATATTTGAAAGCTGTCAAAACAACTGATTAATTTAGGGAAACCATTATCTTTATGTACATCAAAAATTCCTTCTAAACCTGAATTTATAACCAGGAATGGTGGCCCACGCCTGTAATCCCAGCACTCAGGAGGCTGAGGCAGACGGATCACACTGAATTCAAGACCACACAGTGAGACCCTGTCTCAAAAAAAAAATGGGGGGGGGGGACTGGTGAGATAGCTCAGCAGTTTAAAGTGCCTAATTAGGCAAGCTTAGGCAAGTCCGCAGGGACATCAGTTCAAACCTTGGCACCACAGGCCACACTAGACCCCCACCCTCACCCCTGTGAGCTGAGCTGGCCACAAAAAGAAAAAAAGAGCGGAATTTATTTATGCAAGTCTACTTCTACTCCTTAGCAGCCTGTTAAAAGTTTTCATGCAGCCCTTTCACATTTCATAGCACATATATGTCCACTTACTTTATCTTTTCTTCCACCTATTTTCTAAATGGCTAAGACCTTTTTTTTTTGGTACCAAGAATTGAACTCAGGACCTTATGCTTGACAGGCAGGCACTGTGCCACTGAGTTATGTCCCCAGCCTAATGGCTACTATTTCTATGTAGGGTTGTCACTGCTTTTTTGTATTGTTCCCTTATTGAATTTTCTTCTTTTGCAGTGTTGGGGAATGAACCCAGGGTCTTGTACATGCTATGCAAGCACTTTTAATACTGAGCTGTGTCCGAAGTCCCCGGGTTTTCTTAGTATCAGCAACATTTTATTCTCCATCTGATTTTCTTGGAATTCCCTTCTATACAAGCATGTGTTTCCAAATAATGAACACTCTTTTTCCTTGTAGACTTCCCATGACTGGGTTCTCTAACTGTACCAGTTAGCACCCCAAAAACGTTCAATACCAGTAACAAGAGTAGACACAATTAGACTGTTTCTATAGTTATTTCATTAACCATGAATATAGAGAGAAGTCTAACTCATAAAAACATACTTGAAAAAGAATCTTTACAAAGGTGAATTATTTCTTAAAACATTTAAATATTAATTATCTGGCATGGGCTATAAAATTTGTAATCCAAATATAAGTTACAATTTAAGAAGTTATTTTCACAACTTATACAAGTTGACAAAGACCAGAAGAAATAATTCAAAGGTTGAGAAATAAGTCTCTTACCTTCCCGCTTCCCGGCTGCCAAGCAAGCCTGCAGATGGCCTTTGCGTTCATCACATCGTTGCATTTTTGTAACAGTGGCCAACTAACTGCACAGGTCTAATTTTAAAAAAAGAAAATGTATTTCCCTTTAGAGAAAGTAGAACTGAGTACACTCAGTAAGTGCTCTCTTGAAATTGTTATGTAGCTCAGAAAAAAACCACCTCATGCATATAATACTAATAAATACTTGATTAACCTAAATTTTGTATATTTGTTTCTCTCGGTTTTATCAGACAGGGTCTCACTATGTAGTTCAGGCTGTCCTTGAACTCATGTAGCCCAGGCTGGCCTCAAAACTCACAGCAATCCTCCGGCCTCAGCCTCCTGAGTGCTGAGATTATAGGTGTGTGCCACCACAGCTGTCTTGATTAACCTAAATTCTTTAAATCCTTCAGAAGCACAACGAATAAAACTTTAAAAAGTTATTTCTATGAGCAGAATAAATACGCTAAAAACACTCAATACATAAGAAGCTTAGTGTGTCTATAAAAATATATAACACTTGGACAGTTGGGGCTGGGGAGACATCTCAGCAGACTAAAGTGCCTGCTTAGGCAAGCTTAGGCAAGCACAGGGAGCAGGGGTTCAATCCCCGGCACCACATGCTATAACAGCCCCGCCTCCGGGGCAGGCTGAGCCCCAAGTCTAGGTGTGGTGGCACACACCTGTGATCCCATCGCTGGGGAGGCTGAAAGCAGGGGGATCACCATGAGTCCAAGCTGTGTAGTCAGACCCTGTAACAACCAAATACACTTAAAAAGAAACTCAAGGGGCCAGGGAGATAGCTCAGTAGAATAAGCACTTGCCCAGCAAGCACAAGGTCCTGCGTTCAATTCCCGGTACTGCAAAAAAAAAAAAAAAAGAAAAAAAAGAAAAAGAAAAAGAAAAAGAAAAAGAAAGAAAGAAACTCAGAAAGTTTAAGAGTGAGGGGAAGCAACTGTGGCTACTGAGGGAGATTTTTTCCATAAGCCACATTCTTTTCTAGAAACCCCAAGCTTGCTTTTAAAATCCTAGGAGGGCTTAACTATTTCTTCTGCCAATCTGGACAGCATTTTCTTTACACAGCCTTTAAAATCTATACCAAAATGGGTTAGAATGTGTGTATATGTTTAGAAATCAAGTGTGGTCTGTACCTTATTTACTCTTGTGTCCCCAACATCAAACACAAGACCAACACATGCTAATTATCTTGTAAATGTATGCTCAATCCACTCCCCTCTGAAGTACAAAGCTTCAAAAGTAAAATAGAAATCTATGATTCTCCTTGAACTAGGGACACAAGCCACTAGCTTTCAACATAGCTACATTTGCATGAAATGATTCTTTGCTACTTAGAGAAACGAATTATAAACAAAAATAACTGTTGGACCCAATCACACAGTATGTAACAATATCTTACAAAAGAGGGTTAAAAAAACTTCAATTCCAACTATTGAGCTTACCTGATCTGAGATTTGCCACACTCTGACTGACCCATCACAGCTGGCCGATGCCTGCGGAAACAGATTTCTCGACAGTTACGGCCAGAATGGGGCGTGGAGCCTGGGTCCACAGGTTCCACCCACTTTCTGCCAACTGGGTGAAAGCCTTTCTGATTCTGGTGCCATTTTCAACACAAGAGGAGAAACACAAAAAAGAGGGAACAGGTGAAATAATTACCACAAAGACATCTTTGGGATCAAAAGAAAGGCTTAGGACAGGGGCATCGTGTCCTCGAAATGTCTTCTGCTGACTGCTGTCCATCACATCCACAACTTTGATGAGGAAATCACTGCAAATAGCAAGAGGGACACACGGGCCTAAGGACAAGCGCAGCAGCCACTCCCTGAAGCTCTGACTCAAACACTTCTCCATCGTATAACTTCTTTATAGAAATTTACGAAATTGGCAACTCAACTGTAATGACTTACCTTCCTAGTTCTGCTTTATACAGATGCACAAATACAAGGCAGGATTTCCCATTATGGTGAAGCACAAACAGGGCCCAAGTGGTTTTAGTTATATCTATTAGGTCTATTACTTGCTAATCGAATTATAGTCACAATCATATTTTTTTAATTTTTATCCAGTACGTTTGTAGTACACGTTTACGTTCACAATGGGGAGATGGGTCACATATGTAACACATCTTCATTCTTTTTACATCTTCTATACTTTTCTTCCCTCTCTACCTCTTGGTCCCCTATCTACTAGCAAAAGCTCTATCTCCGCTTCATATATATACATACATATATATATAGACATACATGTGTATGTTTATTATATGTACATAGACATATATATGTTTATTATGTATATATATACACATATATACATATAGAGTTTCGTTTTGTTTTTTTTTTTTTTTTGGTACTAGGGATCAAACTCAGGACTCAGGACCTCACCCTTGCTAAGGAGGTGCTTATACCACTAAGCTATCTCCCCCGGCCCCCACCCACCTTTTATTTTGCTCTTTAATTTATTTGTACTTTCAGTTTCTCATAGCCACAATCATTTTATTCTATCTTATCTTATTTCACTTGTTCATATGGCGGATTGAACTCAGGCCGCGTACTTAGCCAGGCAGGCACTCATGCTGCTGAGCCAAATCCCCAGTCCCACAATCATTTTAAAGTCACTACGCTTTTTATTCCACCTCAGCAATTCAGCCAAAAACATATTTTCTACCTAAAGAGAACCTATGAAATTCCTGATTGTACCTAAAATAACTGAAACGTTTGTACAGGTATTATCCTTCTCTAATCTTTTTCAGCTCAACAGGCTGTCTAAAAAGCAAACTACTTCACAACCCCCCCCCCCCGCCAAATTTGCCTTTGCAAACCATTACTAAACAAGAAACTTGAATGAAAAGCAAAATGATAACCAAGAAAAATAAACTAACAGAATCCTAAGAATGCAACCGACAAAGGAACGAGGCTCGCTCTTCTGACACTATTTTCTCCCCTACATCAGAGGCATTACCCCGATCCTGCGGCGATCTTGGTTCCATCTGCGTTAAAGACCACGTGGTTGGCATTGGTGGTGAAGCGCGTGAGGATCCCATCTGGAGCCCCCTCAGGAAACGTGTGCACCTGGACAGTATTGTTAGAGACCGCAGTGACCAGTCTCCCGTTCTACAAGGAAAAAACAAGAAACACTGGCATAACAAATTCAAAGCAATTGGGAAGGTTCCCACAGTTATAAATCCCTTAAAGAGGGCCGGGGAGATGGCTCAGTGGAATAAGCGCTTCCCTGGCAAGCACAAGGGCCTGAGTTCAATCCCCCATTCTGAAAAAGAAAGAAAGAAAGAAAAATAATAAATCCCTTAAAGAACAAAAATCTTTATAAATGTTTAGTTCACATAAAGGAAAAAAAAAATCACCACTCACTGTACAGCTTTCCTGATATGCCTATCAGGAAGATTCAGCTGGCTTTTGAGCTCTGAATTATCGCCTCAGCCAACCTTTTAGCCTCTCACTTTTCTCTTAACCTTTGGTAAGAAAAAGATTTAAGTAGTATTTTAATGGATCCTAAATATAAAAATAAAGGGTTTATTAGAAAAAAATGAGGAGAGAGGACATGAAAAGCAGGGCCACAGCAGCCACGTTCATGTCATCCTATGTTTCTGAAATAAAATCAACCAGTATGTCTTTTTGGAGTAAGATAAAGTCAAAATGGCCAACTGGAGTAACGGACGTGTCTGAAAAGGAAGCCAAGAAACTTTGAGGACTGTCATACCACACTGACCTAAAAGACAAGCTCGGGATGGATTCTGCTCCAGGGCCCTGGAAACAGCCACAACTCCTTGAGGGATACCTCCATTTCAGCCTTCGGGACAAGTGAGGGCAGTGACTCTCTAGGGCAGGAAGCCATCAGGTGTGGAGCACCTGATTATAGCAACTGATTATAGCAACCAGGGTGAAAGGATATGCGGCTTCCCTTACCTCTTTCCCTTACAATCTGTTTCACATACAAAAGCAATACACACTCATTGTGAGGGGAAAAAATATAAGTGTCCTGAGAAAGAGTGAGTTTACCTTTTTTTTTGGTACCAGGGATGAAACTCAGGGCCTTATGTGTGCCAGACAGGCACGTAAGCCACTGGACTATCGCACAAGTACAAGATCACCCAAATTATCGTTTTCTTGTTTTGTTTTGTTTTGTTTTTTTAATGGTACCAGGGATTGAACTCAGGACCCTGTACTTGCCAGGCAAGCACTTATTCTACTCAGCTATCTCCCTGGCCCTTTTTTTTTTTTAAGTTTTGTTTTTTGGGGCCCAGGAGGTGGCTCAGCGGAATAAGCACTTCCCTGGCAAATGCAATGGCCTGAGTTCAATCCCTGGTTCCACAAAAAAATTTTTTAAAACTTTTGTTTTTGTTTTTGTGCAAGGTCTCACTACACAGCCCCAACTCATAGTGATCCTCCTGATTTCTGCCTCTCTAATGCTGGGATTACAGGCACATGCCACCATGCCCAGACTCCATCGCTGGCTCAGCATGCCCAAAGACAGGGCCAGAGTGGCATGGGAGCCAGGGATCGAGCCCTGGCCCCCGCACTTACCTAAGCAACTGCTTAGTCTGCTGTGCTATATCGCTGGCCCTCTGAATTACTGTTTTGATCAGTGGCCCGATGGTGGAATGGTTAGCACTCTGGACTTTGAATTACTGTTTTGTTTATTTTAATTTTTTTTGGTACCAGAGATCAAACTCAGCACCTTACACTTGCCAGGCAGGTGCTTATGCTGCTATCTCCCCGGCCTTACCTACTCTTATGAAGTAATCCCATTACCATTTTAAAGACAAGCCTTAACCCTTCTACACCTGTGTGTGCCTGCACGCATGCGTGTGTGGTATGCACTTTTAACAAGTGCAAGCATCCTTTCAGTAAGCATATAGTTAGCTTCCTCTTTTTTTTTAGTGGCTGCATAGTATGGCTTTACCAAAATGCAAAAAATGCTTTCTTTAGTGATAGATGAATCCTCAAATATTCCTAACTTTTGCTATTGCCATATTACATCTTTGTCCAAAAAACTTGAAAGTGTGCATTTTCCTAATGCAAATATCCAGAAGTGACTGTACACATCTATTATGGTTTGTGTCTAGTTGTCCCCCCAAAGCCTCATGCAGTCATGGGGCGGGGACATCTAGAGTTTGTGATTAACTTATGAACCACTGAGATTATGGGTGATCCAAGGCTGGGATTATGGGTGTGAGTACTTCCCCCAGTCGTGTGAGACCCTGAATGCAACTTAAGACAGACAGACTTCCTCTCTGTTGCCAGCGTTGCCACTACTACTCCATTTTGCACGTGCTCTCTGCTGCTGCTGTGAACGGCTGCCCTCTGCCATGTGCCGCTCTGCCTTCGAGCCAGCTGAGTGTAGACTGAAACCTCCAGTGACTGTGAGCTACATAACCTTTCCTTCCTTCATTTTGGGCGTCAGGTATTTGTCCCAGCCACAAGAGAGACAACATCCTAATTTAGATACATAGCATGAACCCCCTCTTACAAGGGAAAAATAGCCACTGTTTACACTGCCTTGCTTGAGAATTAGCTCATATTTAGTATATACTGGTTATTAATATTTATTTTCTTCTGAGGATGTATATTTCATCATTTATGATCTTTCAAAAAAGAATAAAACATCTAAAAGACCATTTCATCCCTTAATGAGCCCCAGTTTAGAAAAAGTATTAATCCTGTGGGAATACTTTTTCGTCTAAATAAAACATGCTCAAATTATAATTCATCAGAAATAAAAATCTTAGTTTTTAGATAATTTCCAAAATCTAACATCTTCATTCTGTAAAGAGCCTATCTCATTCCCAAGTGTCTCACACAAAACAAACTTAGTAAACAGTCCTATTTTCTTAAATAATGCCATAAGTGATCTGAGTGTCTGAATCTGTTATTTGCTGCTACAACAGTAAAAACCACCAGAGTGACATAATAAGCAGGGCCAGGGACCTAGCTCAGCAGCACAGCACGTGCCTGGCAAGTACAAGGTTCTGAGTTCGATTTCTGATAACAAAAAATATAATGAGCAGAAATGTACTGGTTCAAGATATTGGAGCAGGAACATACAAGAGCAAGGGACTGGAAACCGGTGACAGTCACCTCGCTGTGTCACCACAGAGAAAAAGATCAAAGAGAAAAAGGAGCCCCCTCAAGCTTTTATAATAAATTCAGATGGGCAGTAGCAAGCCTCTCCCATGACAAGGCATGAACCCATTCTCAGGTAGCAGAGCCACCTGGCCTGACTCCTTAGTCCCTCAAACACCCTGGAGGAGTAAGTTGCCAAACAGGCTTCTGGGGGACCCACTGGAATGCCAGCAACAAGCTGAAAACACCACAGAGGTTTCGTCATAGAAAATAAGAACACTTTAACCTTTCCTAAAAGTATAACCTTCTTGTATATACTTCAACTTACTGTTAAAATTCAATGATCACCTTTGCTATGCCATTCATATTTTACCTTTAAAATTCTGGGGCAAAGGCTGGGAACACAGCTCACTGGCTTAGAGCTGGGAACACAGCTCACTGCACAAGGCTTAGAGTTCAATCCCCAGCCCCACCAAAAGTAAAAACAAAATTCTGGGGCAAGGCATAGCCTTTTTATAGTTTGGAATACCATAAGAGGAAAAACAATAAAGATACATCCATTTTCAAACCTCTATGGAAGGCACTTTCATTGACCACAAAAACCACACCCAGTACGCTGCAGTTACCTTCAAAGCACACGAGTACGCCTTCTCGCCAACGTTGATGGACTTGGGGTCATCATCATCCAGGTCTTCCCAAATTCGCACATCACCATCGCTTCCACAAGTCACGATGCAGCTGTGGAGGAGGCACACGCATAAGCAGCCATCCACGTTTGGGAAGATAGCTCAGCGGCACAAGCGCCTGCCTGCCTGGCGCGCGAAGGTCATGAGTTGGGCTTCCGGAACCAAAGAAAAACATTTCAAAAAGAAGCCACCCAGTTTTCCACGTTGTTTTGGGTACCCTGATAGGTCTTTTTTATTTTATTTCCTTTTATTTTTGGTAGTGGCACTCAAACTCAGGACCCTGCATTGCCCAGCTGGCACAGCGTCGCTGAGTTATAGCTCCCGCCCTTAAAAGGTATTTATAAAGCAAACTACTGACCAATATTTTTTTCTTACTATACACAACCAACTTTAATAACTGGTAACTCCATGTTCTGTGAAATGGAGATGAGCTTAACATTCTATACAGTTCTTCCTTGACAGAAAACTCACTTGCAATAGGAAAGATGAATTTGCAATCTCTGTGACAGCAGGGACCACGCTTACCTTGCACACACAATTCTTACCATCAGTCTGACACATGGCAACTTTATTTTGTGATTTTTACTTTTTTAGTGAGGTTTAACATTAGTAAAGCTATTAAAAGCAGGCAAATACGTTCTACAAAGAGAGTGTGGGCCAACTACAAGTAGCCTAGGCCTCTCTATTAACAGTTTGCTTCAGTTAGAGCCTAAATAAAACAAGAATTGGACAAGACAATTGAAAAAGGTAGCAAGATTTATTAAAAGTAGGGAAATCATGGGCTGGGGATATAGCTTGATGGTCTAAACGCCTGCCTGGCAAGCACAAGAACCAGGTTGATGCCCTGTACCACATGCCATGCTGGCCCCAGAACCCCAGGCATGCCAGGCTGGCCACCTAAACTGGGCATAGTGGCACACGCCTGTAATCCCAGCACTGGGAAGGCTGAGACAGGAGAATCATCACAAGTCCAACCTGCACAGTGAGACCCTATAACCAAATAAATAAATAGATTTTTTTTTTAAAGTAAGAAAAGCAGCACATGGTATAGAATAATATGGGCCAAATACGAGGAAAAGAAGTCTGCTCTGCATAGAAAGAGAACACAACCCAGACACAGCAACCTCTATCGATGTCTGCTGAATAAGTAAAAGGCTGAGATCAACTGTCTAGAGGTGATTATTCAAAGAGCTAACTGTGTGGATTTTGGGCTTGTGTCCACAGTCCTGGGGATCAAAAACATGGCCTTCCACATGCTGGACAAGTGCTCTGCTGCTGAACTGCACCCCTAGACCACTACTGGTTGCAAAGCTCTATCCTTCCCATTCATTCAGTGTATGCTATATCTGGACACAGTTAAAAAAGCAAAACAGGGCTGGCAAGATAGCTTGGCGGTCTAGGCACCTGCCTGGCAAGCGCAGGTACCCAGGTTCAATCCCCAGTACCACATGCCGAGCAGGCCCCATGGTGGCTCACACCTATAATCCCAGCACTCGGGGGATGGAGCACAGCTCAGCAGGAGGGCAATTGCTTAGTATGTGAGAGGCTCTGGGCTCACTGCCAGCACCACACACACACACATACACACACAAACACATGCAAAGTCACTGGTGTCATCCTGCTGCCTCTGTCCCCTGAAACGCTGGGTTTACAGGCGTGTGCCACAATGCCTGGCCCTGAGGCCTTTCTTACTACCTTCTGATAGATTCCTAGGAGGAACTGCTAAATTACCATGGTGGTCATCTAACATGGCTGAAGCCCAAAAACAACAGCTTATCTTCCCAATGACCATGTCCTCCTTCTCCCCCACCCTAATCCTGGATACCTGTCCTGTGCACACAGGGGAGACCCCAATCAACTCCTTACAAGTAACTGAACTGCCCCTCAAACTCCACCCCTTGCAAAACTCCATAAAAGTCTCAGCCTTCTTCGTCTCAGGTCAGAAGATCCCCCTTTCCCTTGGAGAGAATCCATGTCTTCAGAGTCAATACAGGTCTCTTTTACCTTTCCTATCTCTTTATTGCATGCTAAAAACTTAACACCTACCTGTCTCCTAAGAGTCCTGGTCAACAAAATCTCTACTTTTTCTTTTCATTTATGTATTTGGTACAGACTCATAGTGATCTTCCTGTTTTCAACAGGTATGCACCACCACCATGCCCGGATTGGAAGTGACTGGCCCTCACTGTACGCTGGGGGCTGGGCAGGAGCAGCATGCGGGACCAGGACTCAAGCCCTGGTCTCTGCTCTTGCCAAAGCTGGAGCTTAGTCCGCTGAACTATCTGAGCTATCTTGCTAGCCCTCTACATTCCTTTTTGAAAAAGTCATTCCTTTGAAATCACAGCTGTCGGGGCCAGCCAAATAGCTCAGCAGATTAAAGTGCCTGCAAGCAGGCACATGGGCTGGGGTTCAATCCCAGGACCTGCCGGCCCCATCCCCGGGGGTATAATGAGATGGCAAGTGAGACTGGGCATGGTGGCGTGAGCCTGTAATCCCAGCTCTTGGGAAACTGTAAACAGGTGGATCACTACAAGTCCAATCTAGTGGTGAGACCCTGAGCACCCTGTAGACTCTTCCCTAAAAAAAAAAAAAAAAAAAAAAGAAGTCATAGCTGTCTTACATCTCTCTAGCACCACACATACATTACCATTTTCATTCTACTGCCACATTTGGCCGACTCTTAAAGTTTAAAAAAAAAAAAAAAGCCCGAAATTCTGACACCTATGGATTCCTAAAGAAAAAGTCCTCATTTCCTAAGGAGTTTAGCTCTCAGCCCATGGTTCTTTCTCTCCACCACCATTCCTAGAATAATTCTTGGCGTGACCTATGTAGTTGGAAACCTCCAGCTATGCCTGTCCTCTAATGTCCTGTCCTGTATCTTAGATTCCTGACGTGCACACATATCATCCCAGCACTCAAAAAGCTGAGGCAGAAGCATTGCCAAGAGTTCAAGGCCGTCAGCCTCCCAAGTGCTGGGGTTACAAGCACGCACCACCAAGCCCTGCTTGCTCTTTATATTCTTGGTTTCTCAGGGCCAGGAAGACAGCTCAGCAGAATAAGTGCTTGCCTGGCAAGTGCAAGGTCCTGAGTTCAATCCCCAGTATGAAAAAAAAAGTAAAGGATATTTTTGGTTTCTCACATAAAACACCCCATACTTAAGCTGTGTGTCTTATTTCACTTTGCATTATCACCTCAAGGTGCCTCCACTTTCCTGCAAATAACTCAAGTGCACCATTTATGGCAGAGGAGTACTCCATTGTGTATAAATGCAACATTTTCTTTACTCATTCATCTGTTGAGATAAATATATTCTAAATGAATATATACTTCAGATGAATATATACTTCAGATATACTAAAACTACTATGACACAGGCAAACAAAACCTAAGGAAACCTATGTGTTGCCCTATGGGGGGGGCAGCTCAGCCCACCAGGGGGCGGGGCTGGCTGGCATGTGGTGCTGGGGGATTGAACCGCGGTCCCTGTGCTTTGCTAAGCTTGTTCCAAGTAGGTGCTTTAGACCACTGAGCCATCTCACTAGCCCCTATGTGTTGCTCTAGATCTCAGCGTTGCTCCCGTTCCTGAGTCATTTTCGGCGGACCGCATATTCGCTGTGTGAAAAGAGACGTTCCAACACTCACACCTGAGACAGAAAGGAAGCACCTCACCTCCCAGAGTCATCAAAACAGACGTCCGTGTGTCCTTCGGTGTGTCCGTACCTCATGGGCTTCTGGGTGGCGGGCATTTTTCTTCCCTACCTGAAAGCCAGTCTCATTATTTTAAAGGCGACCTAGGGAAGGGAAGCAGGGAGGCAGGCGTGCCCCAGGTCCCCCTGCGCAGCCCCGGCCCCCCACCCGAGGCGCCCCGGCAGGGCACAGCGGACATTGCCACACAAGAAGGCGAGAAGGGACCCCGCTTCTCCTCGGCGGGCACGGGCAGCTGAGCGGGCACTCACCGGGTGTCCGACAAGGATCTTCCGAAAAAGGCTGCTTCCCGCGCTCCAGCGCGCTCGCCACGCTGCGCCTGCGCGGAACGCCTACTTCCCGCCCCCTGCTCCGTCTCGCCCCGCCCCACCCAGCCCGAGTGCCAGCCCGGGTCGCGGGATTGTGACGTCAGCGTCGCGCCGGCCGCCGGCAAAAGAGCTGGTTACTGGGGGAATGAGGGAGGAAAGGAAGGGGCAGAACGCGGAAGTGGTGGCGGCGCCTGAGGAGCAGGCGGAGGCGGTGACTGCGAAGCCTGAGACTGGAGCGCGTCGAGGGGAGGGGAAGGCGAGGGTTGGCAGGAGGGCATCCGCCTTCTAGGACCTACACGCGGTGCGGGAGTGGCTCGGCTTCCTTTCTCCACTTCCACGAGCGCCCCGCGTGTTGGCGACGGTGATGGCGGCAGCTTCTCCGACCGCCTGGGTGAAGCTGCGCTCCAGGAGGTGAGTGGGGGAAGGGTGGCCGCTGTGTGGCCTTGTAGGCCGGGGTCTTGCAGACCGGGGTCTTGCCCTTACCTTCCAAGCTCCCGTCCCGGGCGACCCTGTCCGAAGCCTTGAACGGGTCCAGCCCCTTCTTGGAGCACAGCTAGACCGATCTTTGGACAGCAAAAGAAAAAAAAAAAAAAAAGGAAAAGAGATCTAGTCGAAGCTTTCCTCTTGGCCTCCGTGGTGCCCTCACCTTGTCACGTCTGTAAAGATAAAAGATTAATTAATGCCTACATCTTGCGACTCTGTCCAGGTAGCTGTTAAAAAAAGTAATTTGTTGTTTCCCTATTGAGTTCTCACCTAAGTTCACGGAAGGGGATTCTTTAGGTCGAAAAGAAAAGCTAGAACTAAACTGTATCCTTGAGGGCTCCATTTGATCCTTGCCGTCTTTGCTAAGTCTTGGGCTTCAAGTTGTGTCTTCACATTCTCCGTATTGGGAGCCTGGTCTCTGATGAAAACTTTCACAATGATTCTCTCTCAGGAGTATGTCCCTTTGAGAAACTCGCTAGATTTTTGTAGTACCCAGTACTTTCAATTTCGATCAGACTTAACTTATGATCTAAGAGAGGTTTTTCAGTTGTCGATTTCCCGTTCATTGTAGATCCATTGTGAAAAGTTGCAGGCACAGTCAGACCTTGTTCTTTGCTTAGTACACTGTTCGAGGCGTTCCTTTTAGCGTTAGGGCTCCACATAGGCTTGCTGAAAGCTGAGGTTTGTGCATGAATAAGAAGGAAGGGTGATTGGCTCAGAAAGAAATTTGGGATTATGAGAATTTCCCAACAGGAAGAAAAGGATTTGAGAGAATGTCTTGAGTGGCTTAATTTTATTTAGAGATCATTCTTTTTTGGGGTAGACAGATTTATAATTTCTTGTCTGAGTAACTTAATTATAACAGGATCAAGTATGAGCTCTGATAATACCTGTTTCTATTTTGAATAAACCATGATGATATTTTACTACGCTAAAATTTAAGCTGAGTTATAGTTATTCAATAATTTTGATAGATTTATAGTACCAAGTGACCTTAAAATTATAAGCGGTGTCCACTCCTCTGTCCTTTCTGCCTTAGCAATCAAGCCATTTGATTCCCAGGTTGAAGAAAACCTTCCTTGCAGTATGAATGAGCCTAGGTTTTAGAGTTGAATAATTCTGGCCTTTAATTTTTACTCTTGATAGATTGTGTGAATTCGAATATGCTTTTTTACTTTTCTATGTGTCAGATCCCTCATCTCTGAGTTGGAGCTCTTATCAAATTGTTAGGAGACAGTTATGGATATATTAAACTTATGTGTTATTCATGTCTTCTGTTGCTAGTGGAGTACTTTGTGGTTTCATTTAAGGTGGGACTTAAGTCATTATCCAGTAAAATTTTTTGAACATTGAAAGGCATATCTTTGTTTTTGCTAGTATAATACATTTTTGTTTTTACAGCTCCACTTGTTTCAGTCACATACCCACAAATTTTAATGCCTTCTGTAAGTTCATGGTCCTGTGGAAAGAGGTATTCAGACCATACACACAAGGTGATGCTGCAGGAGGGAAGCCTGTGGAAATTAAATACTGTACCCAAAACTTGTCTGGATGAGACAGTATAGCTTTTTAAAATGAAAGGAGTGTCACTGGTGGGTATCCAAGTTTTCCAAGTGAACGTATCCATGAGACAGCACATGTATCAAGAAGACTGAGGATGCCAAGGGGGAAGGAAGACTGAAGGTTAGTTAACTCTGTTGTGACCACTTTTCTACTCCTAGACTTACACATACTGGTCTCAAGAGCAGTCGGTGAGAAGACACAGGTATGTTGTCATTCTACCAGCAGTGGTGTTGTCTATAGAAATAAATACCGTGTGGGACAGACACAGTCCTGCAGTTTATCCGAGACATTATGTTGGTATTGCCTTAGGGGAATTTTTTCTTTGTTTTGGGACACTGGGGATTGAATGCAGGGCCTCAGCACAGAGTTCCACCCCTTCCATCTCCATACTTCCAACATGTGACTGTGTGCAGACTTTCTAGCCTTTTTGTGGCATCTTTTGGCCCTCTATTTCCTGTTTGTTAATTTTATTACTTGCCTGCTTTCCATATATAAGAAAGGTTTTTTAAAGTAATACTGTACATTAATCTCAATGTATACAGTAAAAATAGTGCAAATTTTACTGAGAAAACAGAAGCAAATGAGTTAGTTTTGTGG